TGCTTTTATTACCAGGTGGTAAATTACAGAGTCATAACATTTCTTCCAATGCAAAGAATCTGTTTGCTTTTGTTGATTTTTCTAGGTAATATTCAATTGAAAGTCATTCAGGCTTTCTCTCTGCTTAGAATGCCCTTCCCTTCTTTGCATTGTCAACTTCTATACATCGTTTATTTACTTGATAATTCAATGACAGTTGACATTTCCTTCTTCATTGACAGTTCCTCCTTCTGCTGTGCTTCTGTAGTTTTTCTTTTCTGTACCTCTGATAAATATTTGATAGTGCAAAGCAGGGATCTACATGTTTGAATGAGTGAATGTATATGTATGATGAGCATCGTGGAGTTGTAGGTGTTCCCAAGTGTCCAATTCCATTTCATAGGGTAGTTTACTTCTACACGGTACAAATCTTACATTGTATTGATCTGTACTCCAGTGTTTCATAAAGGCAGCCCTATCTCCAAATTTTTGGATAATTTATTGTAATTCATTGTTTACTGACTGTATAGCAGTTGCCTGTAATGTCCTCCTTTTCTCCATCATGAATTTTATTTTCCCTTCATGACCCAGCTCAAAAGTCTTCTCTTCCCTATAATCCTTCTAGATTCCCTAACCTCTATGCATTCCTACAGTGTTTTTAGAAGGCTTTTTACCAAACTGCTCACAAGTTTTGCACTGTGATTATCCCGTCTGTTCACCTAGAATCTGAGCTTCATTGAGGGGACTTGTTTTTATTAATTCCTTTTTCCCTGGTTCAGTGTTTAGCACACAGTTGGTACTTAACAAATATTTATTTAACTGATGGTATCCTTATTTATTTCACTTGCGCTTAGATAACAGAGAATATTATTGGGTGGACCTAATCCTGGGATGAAAAATATTGCCCCTGGCCCTGTATAATCTCTACAATGTATAGTCTGTATTTGTGTAATTTGGATAATACACTGCATGCAAGTTGCTGAATAATCTTTTTATTCTCTATTTCAATACAGTTTTCCCTCTCCTTTAACAGGTGTTCCCTGCCCTCCAGTGGTTAGATCATAGCTAACAGTTTTAGTAAAAGTGAAGGTTATAAAGTACCTTTACAATGTTTATTTTTTAGGTCATATTTAAAACTCCATTATGTTGACTTTTTCAAATAAAGCAAGGTTCCCCCCACCCATTTTCCCCTTATGTCTGATATGCCTGAAGCCCAGCTTAAACTAAGTGTGCTTGACCTGCTTCTTCTTTTGCCACCATGTGTCACAGGTTTTCTTAAGTATGCAGTAATTGGGTGGGTGGTTCTTCGTTTTTAGTGTCACTACATTGTTCTTATGTAGCTCTATCTTGCCATAGTACAAAAGCTATGTTTTTGTACTGCTTTGAGAACCACCCCTTCTTCCTCCACACACACTCAAAAGAGTTTGCTAATTACATGGCTGTCCTTTAGTCTCGATTAGGGGGTCTCCTGGCTAACATCTTTTTCTCCTCTGTTGTTACTGATGAGGAGAGGCTGACTCTTGACTTCTTGGCAAGGTGACTTATATCCCATCCTAGGCTTATTGTATATTCTTTCTTTTTCAGAAGACCAAATCTTAGCTATCCAGGGAGCGTGCTATATGGCTAATTGTCATTTGTAAATACCTGCCACAAAGTTTTCATGAGTATATCACAAAATAAGGATGATACAGCAAATTTTTCATCTATTGAAAATATTCAAAAGAAAAGACTATTATTCATTATGAGATATTCTTCCTAGATTTTTGGTCTTAAAATACCCATTTATTTTTATTTTTTAAAATTAATTTTACTTTGAAACAATCTCACTACAAAACAGTTGCAAGAATAATACAAGAACTTCACCTACAGACCTTATTAAAGTTCAGCCAGACGTCCCCAAAGTACACTTCAGAACAAGAGGATCCAGTCCAAGGGTCACTTGAACAACAAATATTTATTGAGCATCTGCTACTTACTATTAGATTAAAAATGTCCATTATTTTAAGAAAGACTGGTATAGCAGGTGGTATACTTTGTAAGATAAAAATTTTGTCACCTTATGATAGTTATCTAAATCTTTTTTTGGGAAATTCTACTGGTCTGTGATGTCCCAGTAGTCTAGGAACTGCTGTGTTCACCACCAGAGCTCATATCCATGAGGCAGTAGTGCCCTGCACGTAAAGCAAGCATGGCTGCTTCCGTGTGCATTTCCAGACACTTTTTCAGTGTATTCTTCTGTCACAAGCTTCTTGATTCTTGCCAAATTCCAGCCTTGCAGTTTACTTACTGTCTTCCAGTCCTCTTTGGCCAGTGGTTGTAGTTTCTGTTCTCATGTGTTCATGGGTGTTTAAATCTCTGCAACTCTAGGCTTAGTTAGGTAAACTTCCTGTTCTTCCTTTATATTTTCCTAGATAAGACATTTCTTCTAAGGGCTAGTAGTACATTAAAAACTTTGTCTACATTTCTTTTAGATCTTTTTTTTTTCATTTTGTAATCCTTCTGAAACTGGCTTTCTGAACTTCATTTATTTTACTGATTTCTGAGTGTTTTTCCTTTAGACCTCAACAAAACAGATTCACTTGTTACTACAGTGTCCTTTTATCTTGAAGATATTTACTAATTTTTTCTTGTAGTTAAGTAAATGCAGATGGCAGTCTCCATTACAACTTGCTGCTTTTATTACCAGGTGGTAAATTACAGAGTCATAACATTTCTTCCAATGCAAAGAATCTGTTTGCTTTTGTTGATTTTTCTAGGTAATATTCAATTGAAAGTCATTCAGGCAAAAGGCAGCCAATAAGTAACTAGACTTTCCTAGAAAAATATTGTTATCTTTTAAAGCATCTGCCATGTCAATAAATATTTATCCATTTCTGTAAACAGAAATAACTTTGGTTAAGAGTCACTGATACTTATTTTTTCTAATTATATTTCTTTCCCTTTGGAAAATTTTAGCCAAAGCATGATGCTTATTTGCTTTTATAACATGAGTATGGTTAAATATATTATGGCCCTGTTTTCCAAGTCCCACCTTGTTGGACTTTAAATCAATATTTGATAGTTGGACTGATCTGGAAAACTGGAACCTATGGTTTCATACTCATTTATTCAACAAATATTATGTGTCTGCTCTGTTCCAGGCATTGTGCTATGCACTGGAATAGAATGGAGCTAACAGTCTAGAGGGCAAGACATTTGCCAGTACATAGTTTTAAAAATAATTACAGTTGTGGTTGGTGCTATAAAGAAATACAGATACTATGAGAACATAGAAGAGGGAGGCCTTTTCTGATCCTGTGGGTTAAGGAAAATTTCTTGAAGAAGTGACATTTGTGCTTAGGCATTGAGGATGAAGAGAAGTTAGATTTGAGGTATTTGGGAAGTACTTCTTGGCTAAAAGGTAAGGGACATGATTGTGTGGGCTTGAGATAGGCGGCAGCAAGAGGGAATGGTATTTCTTAATAAATATTGAAAACATACCGTCATGTTTCTATTCTCTTTTCCATCCTAACTTCTCTTAACAGACCTTTTCTAAAACATGCTTTTAATCACATTAGTATGCTGATTAAGAAACTTTTAAAGCTCTTCATTGAGTAGGTTGTGAGTTCCTTGAGGGCAGGGTTTTGCTACTTCTAATTCCTTAATTCAAGTTTGAGATGTTGGAGCCCATCATGCTGCTCCTCAGTACACGAGTTGGTTTTAGCTTCAGTACTAAATGATTGGCAAGGACAGTCATATATAAACTATTATGATTCTTTTTCCCCCTCTGTGTAGCACACAAGTGGCTATGGCTAGTGAAGGACTTTCTATAAAAAAACAAAGACTCCTTTGTAACGCAGTCTGTATGTAGCTCTTATTCTAAGAATGATCTTTATTGTATTAAAATGTTGTAAACAAGACCACAACTCAGGGGCTTTGTGGGGGTGGTGATGGTCTTATCTGAAGAGTGAAGTCATTTTCTCTTTTAGTCATTTGAGAGAGGTGTATCTTCCATAAACTGGAACTGAGGAGGTGGGATCTGAATAGATTGGATAAGGAATATAGTTTGTATTGTTGGTGGATTCTTTTGTGCCAGCTCTTTGGGGTTTTAGTGTAGACATCTGAACAATGCACAAGGTGTCAGTCTTTCCCCTATACTTAGCGGATACAAGGTGCTCAATTATTTGTTGAATAGGAAAAATGTCCATGTAAATGGGACAGGGCCTATGTGTTTATAGAACAACCTTGGATCAAACCTGTGTACTTTCTGGGACAGATTGTTTATATTCCATGAATTCTCTGTCCCCATCCTCCTAGTATTTAGTAAAATCTCTTTGAAAGTTCAGCCAAGGAAAACCAAGGGAAAGATTTGTGTTAGGCTGGACCAACAAAGTGGGCTGTGATAACTGAAATGAGAGAATATCCAAGAGGTGAAACTCAAGGGCATCAACTTTAGCAGTTAGCTTGTTATATGTATTTTTAAAACGTGGGTTATATAAGGATGCCTTTTAAAAGAAGAATTCTTATATATCCAAAGAACACAACCAAGGGTCCCAGTTTGAGAAACACTGCATTAAAAGTTGAATGTAACCATTTAAAAAAATGGCTAGCTGAAAAAGCAAAAAATGAGGTGGTTATTTGGTATTAACTAGCATGATGTTAAAACTGGGCCACTGAAGTGGTGTGACAGTGTTATTTTTCTTACATATAAAAACATAAGTTCTCATATTCTTGATAGTATATCTCTAGACGTTTGGAAAACTCCACTTTGAAAAACTGCAAGTAGTTTACCTCTCCCACAAGGAGATCTAGTGCTGAATCTTGAAAATTTGATGTTTTTTAATGTACCTGGCATTTTGTATGTTTGCTTGATGTAGGTAGGGAAAGAGTGGCAGAAGAAAATCTCCATTCTCCCTCTCCCGCAGGGTGTCCTCACAGATTCCCAATTAGAGATACCATTTGTGTTACCTTGTGTTAAAATCTCTTTTGGGATGTAGCTACCGCTAGGCATGGTTATTAACCAGTCCTCAGTCATTTACATCTTAGGATCAGATGCTTTAATGCTAAATCAACACAAATGTCTCAGAAAATGGAAATTTTATATGAGGAAACCTTAGATCCTTGAGTGGAAGACATTCTTGGATGAGGTGGGAGATGCTGACAAGGCAGCTTGCAGGAAAGAGGTTCTTGTGGTCAGGGAAGAGGAGGAAGATATCAAAGAAACTGTTACTTTTCAGTTTTGCCTAGGATCTTGCTGGTATTCATTTGTTGCACTATTAATGCTCTTGTTGACATTAATGCTATGTCAACCTCATAAGTTTGTAAACTTTAGCCTATGTATTTTCCAGTCCATAATAATTCCAGCAGTTTCTTCCCATGATAATGGCATATCCTCTCAGGAAGAGTAGAATGGAGGGAAAGAAGATGCTTCCTAATATGCCTGGAGTCCAGCTCAGATCAGTCCTGTTGGATAAACCTCCTCTTCTTGGCTCCTTCAACTTCCTCGTTCTCCATAGTGTTTTGTATGAAGTCACCTAGCATGTAAGTAGGTTCTCAGGACTTGGTGATTCATCTAAGAGAATGAAAGAAAACAGTTTGGAAACACAGACCACTGCTTACTACCTACTTCTATTTTGTCTCTTTTCTTTCTCACTTTAAATAACTCTTTTTACTGGAACTTTAGCAGCATAGAAGAAAAGAGTGGTTGGTAAAGGGTAGGGAAGATGGAAGATAATTTTTGATGTTTGGTTGGGAGAAATATTGTTGGTTAACTTAGTTCAGCAAGTGCCTGACACAATAGGTAACTCAGCAATTTTTTTTCTTTGCACTCCATAGCTGTATCTTGAACAAAAATTGAAAACAGAGGAACAAGGCATTAAAACTTACACAGCACTTTCTATCGTGCAAAATTCTTGTTTCCACGTTTTACTCTTTTATCAGGACATATTTTTTATCAGGCAAGTTAGTGACAACTGTTCTTTGTTCCTTACCACCCGGCAGGGAGGTTTTTGGTTTCCTCCCTACTTTCCTAGTGGTCTTCCGTCGTCGATGTTGTAAATTCGGCCACCTATTCCAAGGGCTTTTCTTCACTGCTTCCCGACGTCCTGGCGCTATTGAAGCCCACAGCACACCGGGAAGGAAGATCTCGGTTTCATTTGACGGGCTCGTGAAGCCCCGGGGGCCGCGCAGCCCCTTGTGGGTGGGGCTGGGCGCGGCAGGGGCGGGGCTGGCGAGGAGCCCTAGGGAAACGGTGGAAGGCACAGTTGAGAAAGCCCGCGGGCAGAGGTTTCAGAGTTTTCACGAAGGCTTCGTCTGCGAGGCTGAGGGAATTGAGGTGCTTTCCTCCTGCCTCGCCTTTCTTGATTCTGGAAGCTTCAGCAGGCTTTTGTTGGTTCCTGGTACCCGGAAAGGCAGCGGCTTCAGCTCCAGGGGCGGATCCCAAGGGTCTTGTCGCTGCTCCGGGGCCGTTTGGCCTCCTGGTATTGGGGGAGGGGCGAGGGAGGTGCTGCTCGCGCCTCCTCTTGCGCTTGCGCGGCGGGCTCCGAGCGGGTAGGAGCGCGTGCGCGGTGACGTGGACGTCCGGTGCGCGCGCACGCTCTTCAGCTGGAGCGGACACACGGTGTGCGAACTGAACAGAATAACCCGCCCCCCGCGGGATGTGAAGGACTCCGGGTGAGGCCAGTTACGCCCTGCGCGGTAACTCTCGGGCCTGGGTGGAGGGCGTTGCTTTAGTTACTGGCCCGATTGGAGTTTCTCGAGAGTTTGAAGCTCTTGTGGATTTTAACGGTGTGGGAAGCGTTCTACTGAGCGATCTTCGCACGCCCCGGCCAGGCCGGGCCTTGCGCCGGGCTGGCTGCCTTTGGCGCGCGCGTATGGTCCCCTGAGCGAGGCTGCGCATGTCACCTCGCCCGCGTCCCCGGCCTCACTTCCGCATCGCGCAGCGAACTAACTGGGAACATCGACGCCAGAGAGCGGCCACGAGGCGGGCGGGGTGAGAAGCGCTCAGGGCGCAGCCCTGCCCTCGCGTGCGTGGGGTGCCGCACCGCATGGTACGATCCGCGTGACGACTTCCAGCCGGGTGCGGGGCTTCAGGTCGAGAGCTGTGCTTGTGTGGTTTGCATTTTAGAGCTCAGGTCCAGGGGTTCCAAAACTCCGAGGGAAATGGTGCTGACGTCGCTTTTCTGAGGCGCTGTGTGCAGCGTTTTGACACCTGTGCAAACGTCTCTTGTAGTCTGTAATTTCCGGGCAAGTTGGTTGAGGCTGGAGCGTGAGTTTAATGATGAAGTACGGCGACGAAGTGACCTGTGAAAGAGTGGGAACTTGGTAAACAAAGGACCGGTGGTTCTTAAGTGCAGAAATGAGGGCGGGGAAAACAGGTGGGAAGCGCAGGTGTTATTTTCTTTTTTCCTCTGTGTGGCAGCCTTTGGCTCGTTCTCTTTTTATGAGGCTCCCTGCTTATGTAAAATTGTCAAGCAGGTCTCTGCCCTCCGTGGTTGGTGGATCTGGAACAAACCGCTCCGGGCACCGGTAACCAAAGTTGAGGAATCTATGCGAAGAGTATGGAGAAGTTAGGAATCATTTCAGACTGGGTTGAAGAAAGTGGTAGTGTCTTGGCTGTGAAGATTTTTGCTTTACCTTCGGAACTCTACTGGAGAGAGTGGAAGCGGGAGGGTGAAAGATCCGAAAAGGAAGGGTTACTGAAGGCAGAATAACATGGGTAGCCAAAGTTACACTTCCTTGTTAGGGAAGACCTCTCACAGGGTTTGCGTCGCCGGAACAGACACGTGGATCAGAATTCTCGAGCCCACCCGTGCGCCGCCTGTGCTTGTTGTGAAGCTCCCCAGGCTTCTGCAGCTCAGTCCCTGGCAAACACTGTCCCTGCTCCGCAGTTTCTTTTTGGGCACGACGCCGCGGCTAGGCTGCAGGGAAAGTGTCTTGAGCTGGCTGGACGGCTTCTGGGAAGAGGACTGTCCTGGGAGGGCAGGGTGGCTTGTTCTGTAGTCTCCACGGTAACAGAAACCGCCTGGCTCCCGCGGAGTGACTGGCGGGTTCCGGCTGGAGCACGTGATCTGTTGGGACTTCTCTTGCCCGGAAGAGCTTTCCTTGCGGTATTTTTTCACGTGGTTCTTGGCCTGAAAAGCACTTGTGGGCCCTTGATAGTCGACGGCGACTGTTCCTCCCGGGGGCTTGCAGGCGGCCTTTTCACTTCCAAGGGTATGGGATCAACGCTATTGCTTCTTGATGCCGTAGGGTTGTGTTTAAGCGGTTGTGTGAGTTGAGTGGGTTGCATTCACTTTATAGGAAACACGTACTTGGGACCTGAGGAAAATGCAGTGTCCTGGGTACCTTGCCACACTTACTCCAAGGCAGGGTGGCTGTTTAGTTACCGTGCATTTCTGCCAGAAAAGTTAGTTCTTCAAATTCTACTTTGCAACTGCTAAGGATATGAAAGCTTTCAAATCTTGGTAAATTGTAGTTAAGGAACCATTCCTAGTAATAGAAAGTGCTCCTGAAGCCAGCATAAAGCGTGGTTGTCTGGGGATAGATGTGGGAATGGTACTCTATATTAGGCAAATGCAATTCCGTGCCTTAAAACCTAAAGCACTTCAGATATTTTGAAATTTACCTTAAGAGAGTTGTGATGATGATAAAGTGCCCAGGATTTGTCTGTTCTGATGTGTTTACTAATAGATACCCAGTATCATTTATCTAATTATTAAAATTAACCTAATGATGGTTAAGAGCTGGTATTGGCTGTGTTTGCCATCATTTGCTATCATATTTTATGATTATATCCAAATTTTACTTTTTTAAGGTCTTTCAAATTTATGGATCTGTTGTATACTGGCATATACTGAAATAAGAGTGAGCCCGGTCTCTTAAAATTTGAGGTTCAGAAATGTTGATTTAATTTAGTCATTCTTGTAGTGATTATATTAAGGAACAAAATATCTTGGTGCCTACCATATAGTAATGCATTTGTTACATGAAAAGTTATGGTTATTTATTATTAGCAAGCTAATAATTCAGGATGGGTTGACCAGCAAAAATTTGAATGTTTTGTGTTTTAGAGTAAGTATTGATTTGGAATTTTGATTTGATGCTTTTTTTCCCCTTTTTTCCTTTTTTTGGGGTGCACAGTACATGAATCATTGAATTAGGTAACTACCTAGTAAACTAACTAGTATATTTTCTAGGTTGTTTAAGGGTTATTACTTTAGTAGTTAAACATTTTCCAGAGAGGTCATTGGTGAAGAGACATTTAGAGCAGGGACTCTGAAATTCTAACAGTTTTATGTATGGAACTTAGCACATTACTTACCTGAAAACATTCTCTGTGAAAGAGAGAGAGAGAGAAAGAGAGAGAGAGTGTGTGTGTGTGTGTGTGTGTCTGTGGATGGTGATATTTTCAGAATGTTAGTGTATTTCTCATCCACATCTAAACTTTCTTCTGGGCTTATTATTATAGTTATTTTATGTAAATAAATGCCTGATCTTGAAAAGCTGAACTGAGATTTTTTGGATGTGGAGTTACATGTGTATACCCAAACTGTGGTCTTCTTAAAGCTTTTAGAGAGCCAAATAGAGAGTATTTTTAGAATACTCCTGAAAGGAAATTTATTTCTTCATGAGTAGGTTAGACCTTCCTAAAGTAAATTTGATTTTTGCAATTGGTTTAGATTGTCTTGGACTTTAGAATACTATTTTGTGAGTGAAACGGTTGAATAGGCTGAATTGACTGTGCTTTGATTAAAACCACAATATTGTATCCCTAAAGCATAGGCAAATACTTGAAGTGGAATCTGTGCTTGCAGATTAATGTGGAATAAGAATTTGATTTCTGTTCCTAAACCAGTAGCAATGTATGGTTCAAGGTAGAGATTTGATCATAATTTAGGCTTTTGATTTTATGTATTTTGATCAATCCGTGGAATAATTTAATTGGAAGATTTAAAAAAGACCTTAGGAAATCAAAAGTCTGAAAGTTCTGACTTCTTCCTAATTTCATACTACACATTTTTATCTTTTTCTTTTTACTATCTTAGATACCTGTGTACAAACAGGGCAGTCTGACTTCTCTGCACTTAATTTTGTTGAGGTAAAAGCAAACATTTAAAATGTGTGTATATATAAAGTTAGAATAAAATTTACTTCAGTGCAGTCTATGAAGCATTGAACTGGATTTGTCAGTTGAATCTTTGACACTTCATAGATTAATTTTTAAAAGAGTGATTCTTAAAGCATTGGTTTAAACTTTTTGCCATTGTTTTACCTGTAATGATCTGAGAATCAAGATTTTAATATTATAGAAGGTAATGTTTAAGAGATTCTGAACCGTTTAATGTACTCATAGGTTTGTATGAGTAGTTCTTTGCTGCCTTGGTCATATTTAAATGCACTTTTAATATGAATGTTTTGTGTAATTGCTCATAAATAGTTGATTTGTGACAAGACTTTGAACTTTATGGACTAAATGCAGGAGTTTGTATTGTTTGAACTAAAAATCATTGTAGAGATATTAGTTTTTGTGAGTTCTCTAAGCTTTACTTTTACAAAGTCATTTGTGACTTAAAAGTCTCTGTAAATTTTGTTTTATCAATCTCTGACAGGTATTGTCTAAACTTGCTGGTTTTAGGGAATAAACAACTTGCCTTAAGCTTGAGGCAGCTTTTGAAAATAATCACCTTCAATTTTATCTATCTCTTAAAAATAAACTCCAAATCAGAGGAGAGATTCTTTTCACCTTTTCTGGGTATTAGTGCTTTAGTGGTAGAAAATGGGTTTCTATTTTTATATCTAGCCATAATAGGAAACATTAGCCAACCTTTTTGAAGTCTTGATTTTTAAAATAACTCTTATGCTCAGGCTAACATGTCTTAAGTATTGGAGCTTTTTTTTTGTTTGTTTGCTTCTCTGAAAGCAAGAGGTAAAATTCCTGAAAGAAGAGGTAAAATTCAGATCAGATGCTTTTGCTGCTGGTCAGGAGCTTTGATGAAAGGTAAAATTTAACATTTTAATTAAAATGA